TTTTGCACTTTAAGTACAGTATTAAAATACTTTTGTATGAAACAATAGACATCATTTGTTGATAACGATAGAAATTTTACCACGCAACTTCTGCTTTCCAAAAAGTTGTTGTAGTTGCCTCTGAGATGTGCTGCCCACAACCCCCGTGAGGAGGACTTAAGCCCAGCTGGGAAGAAGTACCATCAGCCTACAGCTCTCTGCCCCCTTGGGCCTCAGCCCCAGAGAGCTGCCTAGGACGCTCCGGTGATGCCTTCCTGGGCAGGCCCATCAGGTGAGTGATAAGCTGGACATTTTGGCTCATTGCAGGTCAACTCGGATGTTTTGCTCTAGGCTTTCTGTTGGGTGGTCAAGCCTACATCACTGTTCTCTCTCTGCCAATCCTGCTTCCATACCCTCCTGTCATGATCTTAATCCCCTATAGTCATTTTGCACCCCACTTCCAGGTCAGCATCTGGAGAACCCACCTAGGACAGTTTTCTCATTTCAGTAGGCATGTGTTTTACAAGAGGGAGCTTAAATCTAGCTTACAATGTTACATTTATACTGATCATTCTTTTTTTTTTTTTAATCCTCACCTAAGGATATTTTTCCATTGAATTTTTTCAGATAGAGTGGGAGGGAGAGAGGAAGGGAGGAAGAGAGAAACAGAGAAATAAAGAAACGTCCATGTGAGAGAGACACATTGATTGGTTGCCTCCCACATGACCCTGACCGGGCTGGGGATCGAACCTGCAACCCAGGTACATGCCCTTGACCAGGAATCAAACCTGAGACCCTTTGGTCCAAGGGCCGACTCCATGGGGTCAACACTCTTACCACTGAGCCAAATCAGCCAGGGCAATCATTCTCTCTCTCTTTTTTTTATCCTCACCCGAGGACATTTTCCCATTTTTGTTCAGATAGAGTGGAAGGGAGAGAGAGAGAGAGAGAAACAGCGACATGAAGAGACACACTGAGTGGCTGCCTCCCACATGACCCAACCAGTGCCAGGGATTAATTGCAACTGAGGTACGTGCTCGAACCCATGACTCATTGGTCCGGGGCTGACACTAACCACTGAGCAACTGGCCAGGGCTATCATTCTTTTCTGAATTTCTAATAAGTCCGTCGTAATGTTCTTTTCCTTTGAAAATGTTCTTTTCCTTTTAAACCACGCAGTAGATTCTGTTTAAATTTTTGCGTAAAATTTTTTAATTTAAAATATTTTTCATTTTCTTTATCATCACATCAGGAAAACAGTTCTTTTAGGGGTTTTAATATTTTGAATGCTTTATTTGGGAAACTGACTTATGATGTTTTTTGAAATTTATCTCAGTGATGTTTGTAAATATTCTTTTTTTTTTTTTAATCTTCATCCGAGGACATTTTTCCAATTTTTGTTCAGATAGAGTGGGAGGGAGAGAGAGAGAGAAAGAAAGAGAGAGAGAGAGAGAGAAACATCGACGTGAAAGGGACACATCAAGTGGCTGCCACCCACATGACCAACCGGGGCCAGGGACAAACTGCAACCGAGGCACATGCCCTCAGCAGGAACCGAACCCGGGTTTCTCTGGACCACAGGCCAACACTCTAACCGCTGAGCCAAACTGGCCAGGGCTATTCTTTCTTTTCTTTTTTTAAAAAAACAATTTTTTCTTTATTGATTTTAGAGAGAGAGGAAGGGAGAGGGAGAGAGAGATAGAAACATCAATGAGAGAGAACATCGATTGGCCACTCTCTGCATGTCCCCCACTAAGGATCAAGCTCACAACCTGGGCATGTGCCCTGACTGGGAATTGAACCAGCAACCTCCTGGTGCGTGGGTTGACATTCAACCAGTGAGCCACATCGGCCGGCTGCAAATATTCTTTATTCCAACTATTAGCATTAAGAGAACACTGTGGCCATTCCCATGAAATATGCCCTTAGCAGTTGTAACTTTTTTTTTAATCCTCACCCAAGGATATATTTTGATTTAATCAGATAGAGTGGGAGGGAGGGAGAGAGGAAGGGAGAGAGAAGAAGAGAGAAACATCGACATGAGAGGGGCACATTGACTGGTTGCCTCCTGCAGGACCCCGAACCAGGGCTGGGGGCAAACCGCAAGTGAGGTTGGTGCCCTTGACCGGAATTGAACCTGCAACTCTTTGGTCCATGGGCTGACCGTCTAATCACGGTACCAGACCAGCTATGGCTTAATTTTTTTTTTTTTCCATTTTTGTCCTCACCTGAGGATATTTTTTTTTTTTTTATTGATTTTAGAAAGGGAGAGAGAGAGAGAAACATGGATCAGTTACCTCCTGAACGCACCCCAACCAGTGATCAAACGTGAAGCTGGGTAGGGCCATGACTGGGGATCAAACCTGCTACCTCTGGGTGTATGGCACGATGCTCCAACCGGCTGAGCCTCCCAGCCAAGAGAGCAGTTTTAACTTTTAACGATTCAAGTTTTGAGCACTGTTTTATCTAATAGTTATAGCAATAGTAAAAATAAGCTACTTATGTTTTTGGTTGAAATAATAAGACTGATTTTCATTTTAGAAATGCAAATCTGATATTGATTCTTGCACAACATAGAAAGATGTTCCATGTTGTTCTCATAGTATCATACTATTAAAAAATTCCTATGCTGAAGTTTATGATAAAATTTCAGAAGAATTATGCTTATGATTCAGAAGATTTGTGGTTATATTTCCTAAAATGTTTAAGAAATATATCTAAGGACTTCCGGTCAAGATGGCGGCGTAGGGAAACGCAGTATCGGTTCTCCCACAACCACATCCAAGTTACAACAAAACTACAGAACAACCATCATCCAAAACCACCTGAAATCAAGCTGAATGGAAGTCCTACAACTACGGAATTTAAAAAAAAAAAAAAAAAAAAAAAAAAAGCAGCTACATCCAGACCGGTAGGAGGGGCGGCAGTGCGAGGGGCTGGTCCCACACCCAAGCGTGGTGGATAAAAATCAGGAGGCTCCCGCGGCTGGGAAGGTCCTTCCTGAGGACTGAGGGGTCCCCGTCCCACACCAGGTGCCCCGCTCAGGGTTCCAGTGCCAGGAAGAGAATCCCCATAACTTCTGGCTGGAAAGACCAGCGGACTGAGGTGCAGGGAGGCTGAAGCGGCTGGAGCCCCAGGCAGCTCCCTAAAGGGCCGGCGCACTGACTTATCGGACTCTCTCCCTCTGAGCTTGGAGGGGAGGCAGCTCGAGGGGCACCAGAGACACACAGGGAAGAACTGAGCTGTTTGGCACTGGAGCGAGGGCTGGAGAGGGGGCTTCCTCGGGGACAAACGTGCTGTCAGAGGCCTTTGTTCCTTTGGTGAGTCCTTCCCTGGGGTGGCAGACAGTCGCCATATCTGGGACTCCAGCAACCTGGCTCACACTGGTAGCCCCGCCCTGCTGACTCCCTGAGGTCCCGCCCTGACCCACCCAGCTTTCAGGCCCACCCAAGCTGTTGCCAGTTGCTTAACCATAGGATTGGCCTGTCTTGGATCCTGCTTCAGGTTTTTCCTAAATTCTTTCAAACGAGCAGCATCGGGTCTCAGCGAGCCCTATACCTCTCATTAAGTAATACACAGAAACAAACACAGGGAGGCAGCCAAAATGAGGAGACAAAGAAACAGGTCCCAAATGAAAGAACAGAACAAAACCCCAATAAAAGAACTAAGCGAAATGGAGATAAGCAACCTAACAGATGCTGAGTTCAAAATATTGCTTATAAGGATGCTCAATAAACTCAGTGAGGGCCTCAAGAGCATAAAAAAGGACCAGTCAGAAATAATCGCTGCACAGTTAGAAACGAAGGAGGCTTTAACTGAAATAAAGAATAATTTACACAGCTTCAATAATAGAGTACGTAAATCCAAGGAGCAAACCATCGATTTGGAATATAAGGAAGCAAAAAACGCCCAATCAGAACAGCAAAAAGAAAAAAGAATCCAAAAAAATGAGGATAGTGTAAGGAGCCTCTGGGACAACTTCAAGCTTGCCAACATTCGCATCTTGGGGGTGCCAGAAGGAGAAGAGCGAGAACAAGAAATCGAAAACCTGTTTGAAACAATAATGGCAGAAAACTTTCCTAACTTGGTGAAGGAAACAGACATACAAGTCCAGGAAGCACAGAGAGTCCCAAACAAGATGAACCCCAAGAGGCCCACACCAAGACACATCATCATCAAAATGCAAAAGGTTCAAGACAAAGAGAGAATCTTAAAAGCAGCAAGAGAAAGGCAGCTAGTTACCTACAAGGGAGTTCCCATTAGGCTGTCAGCTGATTTCTGAAAAGAAACTTTGCAGGCCAGAAGGGAGTGGCAAAAAATATTCAGAGTGATGAAAAGCAAGAACCTACAACCAAAATTACTCTATCCTGCAAAGCTGTCATTTAGATTCGATGGCCATATAAAAACTTTCCCAGACAAGAAAAAGTTAAAGGAGTTCATCACTACCAAACCGTTATTATATGAAATGATGAAGGGTCTTTTTAAAGAAAAAGATAAAATGTATGAACAAACAAAATGGCAATGAATACATATCTATCAACAATGGAATCTACAAACAAAATGAACAGGAAGAACAGGAACATTCTCATAGATACAGAGAACATTTTGTTGGTTGCCAGTTGGGAAGGGGGTTGGGGGAATGGGTGAAAAAGGTGAAGGGATTAAGAAGCACAAATTCATTGCTAGTCTGACAAACCTCAAAGGGAAAGGGGTTGGGGGGTGGGAAGAGATAAACCAAAGAACTTATATGCATAACCAATGGACACAGACAATAGTGTGGGAAAAGGTGGGAGGGGGGCGGGAGTGGGGAGGTGGGGGTAAATGGGGGAAAAATGTGGAACATCTGTAATACATTTTACATCCAACAATAAAGATGTGGGGGAAAAAAATGTAAAAAAAAAATTAAAAAAAAATAAAATACAAAATAAAAAAAAAAAGAAATATATCTAAACTTTGTTGTCTCTTCATTTTATATTTTATTTCCATATATATATATATATATATTTTTTTTTTTTTCCCCACCTCAGATGCGTAATGTGCTGAAGTCGTAATAAGGTTTGCGGGAGGCATACCCCACACAAGAGCATGAACATCCAATCATTATGCTTATGAAGTACGAAAAAATCTTATTTCCATATTTTATTATAAATCCACGCTGTATAAATATCAAAACTGTTCACAGTAACTATTCACAAGAATTTCAAAGTAGAAAGAATAGAGCCCAAATGGAAGCGATACTGAACGTGCCTCTCATAATTCTCAGAACGCTTCTTCCCTGCCCAGGAGAGCGGGCTGCGAAGGTTCTCACCGAGGCTTTCACAGAGGTCCTTTGATCACCAGGACATCCTTCAGCGTTTGGCTGATACACTACATTTTTTTTTTTAATCCTCACTCGAGGACATTTTTTTCGCATTTATCTTCAGACAGAGTGGGAGGGAGGAAGAGAGAGAGAAACATCAATGCGAGAGAGATACATCGAGTGGTTGCCACCCACACAACCCCAACTGGGGCCAGGGACAAACTGCAACCGAGGTACGCGCCCTTTGCGGGAACTGAACCCGGGAGTCTCTGGACCGCAGGCCAACGCCCTAACCGCTGAACCAAACCGGCCAGGGCTGATACACTAAATTTATAGTATTAGAATTTACATTGGTAATTAATTTTATCTCTCACTGCAGTTACTATTATAAAATTTACTGACACCAATAGCTTAACAATAGTCATGTTTACACACACACACACACACACACACACACACAGTTAATAGGGCAAATTTAGAGCAATGAAAGTGAATCAGAATGATTCAGCAACTTAGAATGATTTCAGAAGCAAACTGAAACCTTTCTTGCCTCCATTCCTGAATGAAGCCTAAACTTGACCTCTGGTAAACACTTCCTGGGTTGCCTGTTCCTGGAAATCGCCTCCTCCCTCCCTCTGGCACCTCAGGCTGCTTTGCCTCCCTCACCTCCAGCCCCTGGCTTTAGGGGATTGCTCAGCGCACCTGGCCTAAGGGGCAGCTGGAACCCCCTCTGCAAGGATTTGGGTTTGCCTGTTAGTGCTCATGTCCTTCCGCCAGGGGGAAGGAACGCTGGGGTGACAGAAGAAAGAGTCAGGGCGTGGATGGGAGCAGTCCTCCGAGTCCCTGCTGCCACTGGAAGTTTGCTTTGGAGGCTGTCAGTGAGCTGAGGGCACGCCTGTGTCTTTATCTACATTCCGTTTTTATTTTTTGCTTTATCACACTTGGTGTTTGTGATTTGCTAACGACATAGTCCTAAGCAAATGTTCCCTTGGAAAGCTCCCCACCCACCACTTCTTTTTATCATGAGCCCCAAACTCAGAAATCCGTACGTGTGCAAGGCGCCTGCTCCACTTGTTAAAGCCGTGGTGTGTTCATGGGACGCATGCTTGGTCTGTGCACACGGGATGTGACGCAGGTCTGAGTTAAGGGCCTCTGTGGCGTCTTAAAACATGTCCAAATGTCCCAGTGTGGGGTTGCCATGATGATGATATTAAATATAAACAGTTCAAAATTGTGTATTAATTATTAGCTTCACTTCCTAGTGGATGTGATTTTGTGAACAGGGCCAAATTATGAATTATGTCTCACAACAAAAGCTCAGAGACACAGACATGCATAAATAATGCATTGGCTCAGCTGACTGAAGGTGCACCTGTCCTTTTTTGGATGCTGAGGACCAGCAGGAAGGTTGCAGTGCTGCTCCCTAAAAGGACTGAGACCCACGGAAGTGCCTCACTGGACAGACCACGGAGCCAGCAGCTTCCGCTGCCTCTGGGCAGCTTGGGAGGGTCCCCCGGTGCTCCCTGGGATGTTGGCTGCTACCAGGTACTGAGTGACACAGGCCCCAGACCTGGTTCAGCTGTATCAGCCCACTCCCCCTTGCCTTCCTGCTATCCAACAATTTTTGCTCATTGCTTCCTCAGAGAAAGTTTATAGGAAGTGTTTAAATAAGACAACCAACCCCAAATGGTATAGCTAGTCTTAAGCTCCATGTCACCAAACAGATGTAATGACAGCGTTGGCTCTCCCAGCAGTGGAATCTCAACTGGTCAATCGGGGGTCACATGGTCAGCACTAGTGAGGAAATCAGCCTGATAGACCCCTCCATCCCCTAAAGCAGTGGTTCTCAACCTTCCTAATGCTGCGACCCTTTAATACAGTTCCTCATGTTGTGGTGACCCCCAACCATAAAATTATTTTTGTTGCTACTTCATAACTAATTTTGCTACTGTTATGACTCGTCATTGGAAATATGTATTTTCTGATGGTCTTAGGCAACCCCTGGGAAAGGGTCATTCGACCCCCAGAGGGGTTGCAACCCACAGGTTGAGAATTGCTGCCCTAAAGGAAAGCAACCTTGCAATAACCAATTAGATGTTTTCAAGTATAATCTCTAGTCCTTTCTGCCTGTAAACGTTTCATTTTGTACAGCTTCTCGGAGCTCCTTTCCATTGCTAGATGGGAGGCTGCCTGATTGATGCATCATTAAACAAAACCAATAAGATGTTTTAAAAAAAACAATTGAAATTCTTTAACAGAAGTGAATTCTCCAGACATCTGCTAGATAAACCACTCTTTATGGGTGTAGATGGTTCATCCCTAGAACTAGAAAGCTTGGCCTCTGTTCACCTAAGAACACCTGGGGAGCGGACAGAGGCGGGAAGGAGGGAAGAACCTGTGGCACTGGTCTAGGGCCGGGGGGGTGTTGCATAAGGCCAGCTTTGGTCTCACTTTACTTACCTAACAAATGTATAACAGTACTTTGTACAAGCCAGGCACTGTTCTAGGCTCTTTTCACAATTAACTCATCCAATCTTCCTAACAACTGCATGAGGTAGTGGCTGTTATCTTCATTTTACAGATGAGGAAACTGAGGCATGGGAGGTGAAGCAACTTGTTCAGGGTCCTACACTCATAAGATACATATTCCTAAAGAGCTATTTTTCAGTGAATTTTTGTACATTAAATCCTATATCCTATTTAAACACTCATATTTTAAGATATAGAGAAGAGGTTAACCAAATGAAGTTCTGTGTGTGTGCAAACTTGATTCATTTGCTCTTAATTTCAAAGCCTTCAGATCATCACAGTGTCTAACACTCACTCGGGCCAGATTTTGAATTGCGTGGGTTTGCACAGTAGTGGGAGCAAAATACAACATCCCACATTTTGAAGATTTGAGAAAAGGAGGGGTTTCCTTTCAGGACTCTAGGGCTGACTGCTTCAAGGGTGGACAAGGCCCTTTACCTGCCTTCAGATGTCAGTTTTCCAGGATGGGTCTGGGATGGGAAGCATAATTCTGGAGATAAGGGATAGCCTGAGAGCAAATGTGCTAAACTGAACATTCAGTATAGTATGGAGCCTGAGTTTTCTGTGACATTTTCAAGCTATTCTTTATTAAATGGTTTCATAAGATATTTTCTTGAGGGTAAGTTGACAAGTGAGTTCCTTGTCATTTGAAACTTAGTAAGGTAGAAAAGAAACTCCCTTAACCCATTCAAGGTAAGCCTGAGGTCAAACTGAAAAGACACCAGAAGGCTGGGAAACAGAGATTCTCGTTAGCGCTCTTGTAAAGGTAAACAATACCGTCTGTGTGCACAAGCATTTCTCTGGGAAGAGCGTTCTGAGCTGGCATCAGTTTCCCACAGAAGCCAAAGCACCTGCTCTGCACCACCTCTGCAGGACCCTGAGCAGTAAACACAGGAGGGTGGGAGAAGACCAGTTTGGCAGCATGACTTCTGCTTTTGTTACTGAACTCAAGAGGTGTGCCACTTGGGAGTGCTTCTATGTAAAAAACGAGATGTGGCCCAGCCGGTGTGGCTCAGTGGTTGAGCATTGGCCCATGCACCAAGAGGTTGCTGGTTCAATTCCAGGTCAGGGCACATACCAAGGCTATGGGCCGATCCCCAGTGAGGGCATGCAGAAGTCAGCCAATCGATGTTCTCATCGATGTTTCTAGCTCTCTCTCCCTCTCCTTTCCTATCTCTCTAAAATCAATAAAGGAAAAAAATTAAAAAAACAAACAAACAGGGGTATGGTTGTCACAATGTAGTTTTATTTACCTGCAGCAAGAAAAGGAGACAAGAGTCACATCCAAAGCTCTGCCTCCTTAAAGGGAGGCTTAGCCATTGCTTCTATACACTATTTGACCAATAACATGTCGATTTCTTCTTTGTAATTGGCTATACTTATCAGGTTGGGTTCCTGTCAAGCTTATCTTGTTTATAGCTGGTCTGCAAAATGCTATACTACGCTTTACACTAAGCAAGGATAGCATTTAGTAAGAATGGTCCAGCCCTCGCCGGTTTGGCTCAGGGGTTAGAGTGTCAGCCCGTGGACCAGAGAGTCCTGGGTTTGGTTCCCACTAGGGGCATGTACCTCGGTTGCGGTTTGTCCCTGGCCCCAGTTGGGGTCCTGTGGGTGGCAACCAGTCGATGTGACACATCAATGTTTCTTTCTCTCACTTCCCCCCCCTCCCACTCTATTTGAAGATAAATGAAAAAAAAAAAGTGTCCTTGGGTGAGGATTAAAAAAAAAAATTAAAAAAAAAAAATGGCCCAGACTGTAAGACTCTTGTCCTAACAGCTTTATTTCTTTATCTCCTATTTCCTTAATTTTTTTCTTTTTATTGAATTTATTGAGGTAACCACTGGTTAACAAAATTATACAGGTTTCAGGTGCACAATTCTACAACACATCATCTGTACTCTGTATTGTGTTTCACCACTCCAAGTCAAATCTTCCTCCATGATCATTTATCCCTCCTATTCTCCCCTGCCTCCCCTCAATCCCCATAGTTTTCCGTGTCCATGAGTTTTTCTGCTTTTTTCCTTTTTGTTTAATCCCTCCACCACCACCCCTACCCAGCCCCCTACAGCTGTCAGCCTGCCTCTATTTTGTCAGTTTATTTTGTTCATTAAATTCCACATATGAGCCCTGGCCGGTTTGGCTCAGTGATTCGAGCATCTGGTTGTGGACCAAGGGGTCTTGGGTTAGATTCTGGTTTGTCCTGGCCGGGTGGTGCGGGAGGCAACCAGTTGATGTGTCCCTCTCACGTGGATATTTCTCTCTTTCTCCCTCCCTCCCACTCTACTCGAAGATAAACAGAAAAATATCCTCAGGTGAGGATTGAAGAAAAAAAAATTCCACCTGAATGAAATCATATGGGACTTGTCTTTCTCTGATTCGCTTATTTCACTTAGCATAGTGCTCTCCAGGTCCACCCATACTGTGGTAAAGGGTAAGATTTCCTTCCTTTTTTACAGCCCAGTAGTATTCCATTGTGTAAATAAACTACAGTGTTTTCTTATCCACTCCTCTGCTGATTGATGTGGGCTACTTCCAAAGCTTGGCTATTGTAAATAACACTTCCCTGATCATAGGGGTGCATTTGGTGGGAACGCAGACTGGGTGCAGCCACTCTGGAAAGCAGTATGGAATTACCTAAAAAAAACTAAAATGGAACTGCCTTATGACCCACGGACTCCTAAAAGTATTAGAGGGTGCAGTGATCAAGGCTAGGAGATGCTCCTTGCCCTCAGGGGACCTTTGGGCTCTACCCCGCACAAGCTATTTCCTCCTCCTGACAGCTGGAGTGGAACACCTGCTTCTTAGACTCACTCGGCCTCCCAGCGGGTGCAGCCCGGCCGGCAGGCTCCACTCTGTTCCCAGGCCCGCGCGGGCTGCAGGGGTAAGCAGAGCGGCCAGTTCCCACCTTCCCTGACTCAGCGACCGGGAACCACCCGGACAGCGGGCGCCGCCGCCAGGGCTGCGCGCACTTCTTTTCCTGGCGGAGGGAGCGCGCCTCGCCGGGCGTGTCCAAGCCTTGCTGACGTCGCGGAGGGCGGGCAGTCGGTGCGGGAGCGTCGGGCGCGCGCGTGCGTTGGGCGCCGCCGTGAGGCCGGAGGCGCGAGGGGACGCGGCTGTGCTGGTCCTAGGGCGGCGGCTGCGGCCGGAGCACCGCCCTGGGCGGAGAGGGGCGCAACGACCGAGGAGCTGGGGATGGGGAGCAGCGGACCCCGCACCTCTTCCGGACGCGCGTGCGGCTCCGGTGGCGCCCAGTGACGGCGGCGGCGCCTCTGGCTGGGCTGCGGGGAGGCCGTTCGCCAGGGAGCCCGCGGCCCGCGGCGGCCGGGCCATGAAGAGCGGCCGGGGCGGGGCCTGGCCTCGCTGACCCCGGCCCCGCGCGGCGGCCTCTCCCGTTTTCGCTCGGGCCTCTCGTCATGAGCGTCCGCCAGTACCCGGGGCCGCGGCTGCCCCAGCCCGGCAGCCCGCGGGCGCGCTCCCGGCCGGCGGGCCCGCGGTGCTAATCCCGGCCGCCGCGCTGCACCGCCCGCTGGCCCCGCGGGACGCCCCGGGGGTGCGGCCATGGAGGTGGTGGGCGACTTCGAGTACAGCAAGAGGGACCTCGTGGGACACGGGGCCTTCGCTGTGGTCTTCCGGGGGCGGCACCGCCAGGTGAGCCCCGCGGGCGGGCGAGGCCAGGGTCTGAGGGCGAGGGGCTCAGGGCGCGTCCTTCCTTCCGTCTGCGCGGCCGCGGCTGGCCCGGGTGGTCCCGCAAGTTGGCGAAGCCGCGGGCGTCGAGGCTCCTGCGTTGAGTCGCCGCCCCTCGCCTGTCAGTGACAGTGCTGCCATTGTGCGCGCCGTCAGTGTCGCGTGGTTTGTTTTGGTCGGCGAGGATTGTTTGGGGCCAGAGCCCTGGGCTGCGCTCCGCCTACCGCCGGGCCGGGCCTGGGTTTCCACTCCTGACCCCAGGGCCTGGTAAGCAGGGCTGGAGGGACCACCCTTTGGAGGCCTGGGGAAGCTTTTCACCTGCACTTGCCCGGATTCCAGAGGACCGCAGGGTCCCCCGCACAGCCCAGGGCGGGGTGTGGAAGGACCTTTGATTTTAACCCCCTCCCTGGGCGGCCAGGACTGGCACCTTTGAGGTGGAGGATTGCAGACCCAGCGGAAAACTGGCTGGTTTTCCATTTGCCCGAGGCTTTCTGGAACACAGGGGTATCGCATTCACCAGCATTGCTGCTCCTACACCCAGACCAGCCCCGTGCAGTCCTGGTGTTGAATAGACAGCTCCCAGTGGAAACGATGGTGGGACGCTCCCTTTTCCAATCCAAATCGACATGAAAGCAAGTTCAGCTTTAAGTTCAGCTTTTTTTTTTTTTTTTTAAGTTTTTTCTGTTTAGAAAATTAGAGTTATATGAGGTTTTAGAATCTAAAGAATTTGGAATATCACCTCGGGAGTGGAAATAATCAAAGGGTTTGGCAGTTCTGATGGTTGCCAAGGGGCTGGCTTTGTTGCTTATCTGATAAAATAATAAATACTGCTTTTCCTTTGTTATGGATGTACTTTAAAACTCAAGAAAAAATAGTTTAAAAAACGACTTAATCCTGCCAAGGTATCAAATGTTGTTTTCAATTAACCGTACCCAATTAGACCTCCCAGTTTATTATCCACATTTCTCCATAACTTTTAATAGTTCTAAACTGTTCTTTTTTCATCTAATGCTGATCACTGTGTGGTCTTTGTATTACTTATCAGTGACTGTCTTATAGGACATTAGCTGTTACACCATAATTTATGAAATCACTTTCCAGTTGTTGGAGATTCAGGTTCTTTTCCATTTCCCCCCCTCTGTGCTGTACATGAATTTGCTATAAACATCTTTAAGCTTACAGATTTTTTTGTTGTTGTTGAATTATTTCCACAAAATAATTTCCAGGAGTAACACTATTTTTTTCTTTTCAGAATCCTGATTGGGAGGTAGCTATTAAAAGTATTAATAAAAAGAACTTGTCAAAATCACAAATACTGCTTGGGAAGGAGATTAAAATCTTAAAGGTATGTTTCTTTATGTGATATTTCATACTGGGTTGAAACTTATTTTAACTGAAATTAATACATGTTGACATACTTTGTAATTTTAGTATTTGGACCCAAGTTTCAGAATTTTCACCTGTTGCTCTTATTTTTGCATAAGTTTTTGAAACATTCTGTACTGACTGGGAAACTATTTTTTTAAAAAATAGGTGTTTGTGGCTTTTGTCCAATACTTAGAGTGACGCTGTGAAAACTCATCATTTCTTTTCCTCGTTGCCCTATTTATTGTCATTGTTTGGGAAGAGGCGGGCCCCTCCTATACATCATTTAGCTCTTCTGTTGATCCCTTTTATGGTACACTTAAGTTTATGGAAAACTGAGTGCACTTGGGATCTTATTTTCCTTTTAAATTGGAGAAAGTTATTTTCATTAGAAGTGGTCTTTTTAGATCACTCACAAGCAATGTTATCCAAGTGAGATGCTTTAAGGAAAGAGAGCCCTATGGGCAAATAAGTTCTTTTCACTAAATACTTCTTGGAGAGTCTCAGAGCACTTGTCTCATTAAAGAAAGTCTGAAAATGATGCAGTGAAGAAACCAGTGTAGGTGTATTTAACCCAATATTTCCCAGACTAAAATGAACATGGAACCCTCATCTAATACCAGTTTCCATCAACACTGCTGTTCTGTAGACGGCTCTTTGAACAAAGAGTTATACTTTTTTTTTTTTTTTTTATCCTTACCCAAGGACATTTTTGCATTTATCTTCAGATAGAGCAGGAGGAAGAGAGGGAGGAAGAGAGAGACAGAAACATCGACATGACATAGACACATCAACTGGTTGCCACCCACATGACCCCAACGGGCCAGGGATGAACTGCAACCAAGGTATGTGCCCTTACCGAGAACTGAACCCAGGCCTCTGGTCTGCTGGCCGACGCTCTAACTGCTGAGCCAAACCAGCCAGGGCTATACTTCCTTTTCTTTGAGGCAAGTAATGTGCTGGTTTTTTTAAAACCTCACCTGAGGATATGTTTATTGACTTAGAGAGAGAGGAAGGGGGCGGGAAGAGAGAAAGAGAGAAACAGACATTGATGTGAGAAAAATTGATCAGTTGCCTCCTGTATACACCCCAAATGGGGATTGAACCCTCACCCTGGGTATGTGCCCAGACTGGGACTCAAATCTGCAAGACATTTTGTGCCACAGAACAATACTCCAACCAAAAGACTAGCAGAAAGTCTGTGTCTGTAGTCATTCTTACTATGACATTTTTTTTTTTTTTTGGTAAGTGAGAGTACTTTGGTAAGTACCTTTTTAAAAGTCTAAAAAGGGATAATGGTGAAAAAATATTTAGGCCCCAAGTAAATTTTGATGAGGCACATTTTTTATTCTTTAATAGATCGAATGTTGTAATCTAGTAACAGAACTGTAGTATACTAGAAGTAGCATAAATGTATGTGTGTGTGTGTATACTTAAATTAATTTTGTTTGCATATTAGAATATGTTAGCATTATTAGAATAAATACAAATATTTTGAATTCTTAATTTCTTTAATAGGAACTTCAGCATGAAAATATCGTAGCACTCTATGACGTTCAGGTACTTTATTTTGGGTATTTTAAAAAAACTTTTGGTGTGGAGTGGGAGGAGGGTGTCAATGGGGGAAAAAGGGGAAACATCTGTAACAAAAATAAATTAATAAAAAATAAAATAAAATAAAAATAAATAAATGAATAAAAACTTTCATGTCTGTTAATAAGGAACTTACATTTTTTCCCTATTTCTTAGACATTTAAATGAATTTTAACCGAAAAAGAAAGTTGCCTTATTCTTATTGAAAATATATATAACTTGAGTTATTTATTAAGAAATTGTTTAAAATAGCATAAGGCAGTAGGATAAAACAACGTGCTTCATGAGCAAACATTTTAGCAAGTGATAATATACTAAAGGAGTAGTGCCGTTTTAAAGGTCAAGTAGAGCCCTGGCCGGTTTGGCTCAGCGGTTAGAGCGTCGGCCTGCGGTCTGGAGAGACCCGGGTTCGGTTCCCGCTAAGGGCACGTACCTCGGTTGCAGTTTGTCCCCGGCAGCATGTGGATGGCAGCCACTCGATGTGTCTCTTTCACGTCGATGTTTCTCTCTCTCTCTCTCTTCCTCTTCCTCCCTCCCACTCTATCTGTACAAAAAATGGAAAAGTGTCCTCGGGTGAGGATAAAAAAAAATAAAATAAAAAATAAAGGTCAAGTAGAGGAATATTGATACCAGATCTAGCATTTCTGTGATAAATGTAGAAAGGACTGTTGTGGACTAATAAACATTAGCTAGAGCTTTTTGTTGTTAATCCTCATCCAAGGATATTTTTTTCCATTGATTTTTACAGAGAGTGGAGGGAGGGAGAGGGAAAGAGAGAGAGAAAGAGGAACATCAGTGTGAGAGAGAGATGGAGCAGTGGCCTCCCCCATGCACCTGGACTGGGGTCCGAGGATCGACCTGCAACCCAAGTACATGCCCTTGATGGGGAATTGAACCTGCAACTCTTTGGGGCTTGGGCCAATATTCTAACCACTGAGCTGCATGGGCCAGGCCTAGAGCTTTTTTCCTATTGCAAAAGCAACATTTGGTGATGGTGGAGATAATTAGAAAATAAACTAAATAAGAAGGAAACTGCGTATTTATATTTTAGATATATCTGTGATTATTCCTGTGGCATAATGCAGATTTGCATTTTATTTGGAGGTAGAAAGGCTGGTTTCTAAAGTTATCTTTTAAGGCAACTTTTCTGTATTATGAAAATCACCTTTGAAAATCCTTTTTAAAAGCCATCTTTGGAGCAACTTACTATTTCTGGGGTGGAGCACCAGAACAAGTAGTCTGTCGACTTATAGTTAGAGATCCTTTAAATGCTAGAATCACATTCGGCTCGTGTGGGAATCCACTCAGAGCTGCAGGGATCTGAGATCCGAGGGAACGGCAGATAAAGCTTTCCCTCCACTGTCACCCCAGCGCGGGCCAGGGTGCATGGTTTACGTTATTTCATTCTTTCCTTTTGCTTAGTGTGGACAGTTGAACTTCAGTGAAGTAAATGGACGAGTTATGTGATTCTGCTGTTATGCTGCATATGTAGCTAAAATACTTTCTCTGTGTCCTCGGGTTACTCAAATTCATTCACTTTGCAAGGTTTGGAGTAGCTACTATGTGCCAAGCATTACTCTAAAGTAGGAATAAAGCAGTGAGTAAGCAAAGCCCTTGCTCTCTGAGTGTTTAATTTCAGTGGGGTGAGAACAAAATGGACTGTTCTAGATGTGCTTTTTTCTGTAGTCATTTTTTTTTGTTTTTTATCCTCACCTGAGGACATTTTTCCATTTTTTGTTCAGACAGAGTGGGAGAGAGAGAGAGGAAGTGAGAGAGAAACATTGACGTGAAAGGGACACATCGAGTGGCTGCCACCCGCACAGCCAACCAGGGCCGGGGACAAACTGCAACTGAGGTACGTGCCCTTAGCAGGAACTGAACCAGGGTCTCTCTGGACCGCAGGCTGACGCTCTAACCGCTGAGCAAAACCAGCCAGGGCTGTAGTCATTTTTTATGTGGTCATATCATGTTACAAAGTATTTAACTAAACCCATGTTGTAAGATGCATAGGTTTTTCCCATTACAGAGAAGTGCAGTGAGGACAGTACAAGGTGGGGCAAAAGGAGGTTTACTTTTGTTGATATGGACAATAATTAATAAATAATTATACAAGAATAAACTATTTTGGGTATTCACAACTGTGAACCTACTTTTGCCCCACCTTGTATATGCCGTCTGCACGTATCAGTTTCTTTTTAGTTCAGTTTCTAGAACTAGAATTACCAGGGCACATAGGGTGCCCAGTTTTAAAGTTCTCTGATTGTAGAGTGTGATTGCTGTCCAAAATATTGCAGTTGAAACTCCATGTGAATGCTGTAGGGAATATTTTATTTTATTCTATTTTAATTAATTTTTTTGTTAATCACCCGAGGATATTTTTTCCTATGACTTTTTTTTTTTTTTTTTTTAGAGAGTGGAAGGGAAGGTGGGGAGGGGTGAGAGAAACATCAGTGGGAGAGAGACATCGATTGGTTGCCTCACACAGGAGCTCTGACCTGGGCTGGGGTCGAACCTGCAACCCAGGTACGTGCCCTTGACCTGGAATCAAACTGCTGGTGACCCTATGGTTCACAGGCCAACACTCTAACCACTGAGCCATGCTGGCCAGGGCATGTAGGGAGTATTTTATTACCTGTTTAAATCAGTGTAACTCATTCCTTGATTTCAGAAATTCAAAGCAGCATAAAAACAAAGTGGGAACAAGTTTAAAGTCAAAATTAAAGGATCTCACAATCCCTAGTTGAAATGTCAGTTCTCCCCAGAGCCCTTTGTGTGGTTTGTCTTAGTTTCTGTTGATAGAGGGCACCAAGTGCCTCGTACAGAAATCGTTAAATATTAACTCTTAAATTTTCCTTTTTTTGAAATGTAGAGAAAATTTAATTGCAGAGTCGGTTTTGCTTTCTTTGTAGAGAGTGTATTTAGATTTTAGTCTGTCAGAATAAAAAATATTTTTAAATATTATCCTCCTTGGTTGTAGAATGAGATATTTCATTGGGAAGAATATATGCTCAAAAACTCGAATTATCAAACAATCAGGAATTTCAAGGTGACTACATTAAAATGTTTATTATTTTATGCATTGTATGTACTGGAACTAATTTATAGTAGTAAACTTAAGAACTATCAGTTAGCCCTGGCCGGTTTGGCTCAGCGGTTAGACCATTGGCCTGCGGTCCCAAGAGACCCAGGTTCGGTTCCTGCTAAGGGCACGTACCTTGGTTGCAGTTTGTCCCCGGCCCTGGTTGGGTTGGCCCTGGTTGGGTTGTGCGGGTGGCAGCTACTCGATGTGTCCCTTTGACGTCAATGTCCCTCCCTCCCTTCCTCCCTCCCTCCCTCCCTCCCTCCCTCCCTTCCTGCCTCCCTCCCTGAACAAAAAAATGGAGAAATGTCCTCGGATGAGGATTAAAAATATATATATATCAGTCAAATGAATATAGTCTTGAGCATTTGGCTATCGAGTCAATAGTCTTGATCTAATATTTTAAATTTGCTTCCTTGATTTTAACTATTAAGGGGTACAGTATATTTGTAGTGACAGGTATAGTAATTTTATCAACTTGAGCACCATTTTTACTGGCCATTAGTTTTGGAGATCCATCTAAAGTTTACACACTGTTTTAAATTGAGAACTTTTAACATTGTTTATCAAAATTAGGTTTCAGTTTACATGATACTTAAAAAGAAACACATTTTCCCAAATTACAAAAATAATATATTCCCATTAAGTAAACATTTTCAAAATGAGTAAATTAGAAAATAAATGGTAGTTTGCAGAGATAACCAATGTTTGTTATATTTCTTTTAGAGTTTTCTAAATACATATATGAATCTAGTAATTTATACTTCAGTTTTAAGCTTTCATTGTGAGGAAACAAATAGTATTTTTACAGAAATGTATCTTGTTTTATTAAACTTATTGTATCTTGGATATCTTTTCATATCAGTGTAATACTGTAGGGCTAAATTGTAATCTAGTTACTAAAACCAGATTGTGGCTATTTGCATTGTTTCTTTTTTTTTTTCTCATTATAAAAAGTGCTGTGTAGAAAGCTGTGTGCACACAGCCTTGCTTGTTTGTGTGAGTGTTCTTATAGAATCAGTTCCTTGATGTGGGATTACTTGGTCAAAGATATTACCATGTTGCCTTCCAAAAGGTTGTACCAATTTATTTTTACCAATAATGTCTGTTTTGTTTTTCTTTTTTGGCAGTCTCATGGGAGAAAAATACCTCAGGTTTTATTATATATTTATTTACTTGTTAATCCTCACCTGAGGATATTTTTCTATTGATTTTTAGATAGAATGAAATGGAGGGAGGGAGAGAGAAAAACATGGATGTGAGAGAGACACATCCGTTGGGTCTCTTGCACGACCCCGACCGAGGCCCAGGATTGAACCTGCAACTCAGGCACATGCCCTTGACCAGGAATTGAATCCTCAACCCTTCGGTCGAGGGCTGGCGCTCTAACTGCTGAGCCAAACTGTCCAGGACATACTTTTTATTTCTTAAATCATTAGTGCACTGACCATCTTCATGTTTTATTTGCCTTATTCTATTCTGTGACTTTCCTATGGTTGTGTTCATTTTTATTTCTTACATTTTTGTGATAATATTTCTTGAGTCAGTTAAGAAGATGGTAGTAGTGAACAAAATAGAAATGGGCCTTGCCCTGTGGACCTTACAATAGTGTATGGGGGAAGATACCGTGAAGCAAATAGTTACTCATTCTAACTGTGCACAGTGTTGTAAGGGAGAACTAACTGTAGGAGAGAGTTGGAGGAGGCATAGGGGGTTACGGAGTAGGGCAGCCCACTCTGTGCAGCTAGGGAAGACTCCCTGAAGAAGGATGTTTAAGCAGACTTGATGGAAGAGGGGGAGGCTAGGCTCTGGTAGTGGGAGAAGAGCGAGTTAAGTAAACTAAACTTCCCAGGCAGAGGAAGCCTTCTGTCAGGAGCAGACAGGAAAG